GATACAGTGTTTGCTTCTAACTCGATACAGTCGACGTGTTCTCATAATAATGACTCTTCAATTAACGTATGTGGATTATCACAGTATTTTCTTCATGGTCCTTTTGGGGAACCATTGAGAAATCTTTAAACTTTTATTTAAATCTTGTCACTTTGAAATTAGTGAAATTATCCAGGCTATGTAGCAGGAGTGGAGGGCAGGGTATTTCATTTTGGACCACACCCGCAGAAATATTTTTGAAACAATTGCCTTGTTTTTGTTGTGAGCTTGAAGTACAAAATGTACTTTCAAAACAGGAAATAATACTTTCGATCTTATGCAAACAATATGGAGTATTAGAATAAAATTAATAAAATTATCAAAAATAGCTGTCTTTGGGGGAGGCTTTACATATCAAGCAAACATGAGCAAGAAATCACAAGGAAAGCAAACCAGATGCTTGTGCATTATTTTTCTGACCTCCAAATGCTTTAATTCTAAGTGTCACATTACATACATTTCTCCTTAAGTTAGTTGTCAAAACTATATACTCTTTCTTGAAACCAATAGCAGTCTGCAACTGTAGTTTTAAACAAAACATACTTAACTTTCACTCCAGAATTATCCCATTAATGTTTTTACTAAATAATTCTCTGTTTTCCAACTACTTTCAAAATTATCTGAATAACAATTGTTTGTTGAAATATTTGTTGCTTTTGAAATTCACACTTTTGCATTAATAACCTTCGTCTTGGTAAGATTCACGGTTGCTCTCTGATTATTTCAGCCATTTTAAAGGTTCATAAATTCTTACCATATAGGTTTATGACGAAATAAAATTTCATGCTTTTGTCAGTTCAGTAAAAAGCTCATTCATACAAATGAATAACAATTTTTTTTCTAAGAATACAATAGTTTTTCTACATAGATAATGAATAGAATTTGCCCAATACAATGTTCATATTCAAAGTAAAACTGTTATCAACTTCCTAGTCAACTCTTAAAAAGTATGTCACCAAATCAGAAAATTCTGTCAAAAGAATGAAAAACTACCTGCATCTGAATTGCGGCAAAATCAGTACAATTTTCATTATTTGTTAAGACAGAGAAATTCTGGAGGCTTATTTGCAAATTGTGAACCAGTGAAGCCCTATGTTTTTAATAATAGCTGCTATCACACCTGAAACTGTTTGCCTTAGAATAAGAAAAGTTATATTAATAATAATCTCCGTAAGAAAAGTCTCATATTTTGCACATTTTCATGTATTTCAGAAATTGAAGTAGTTAGGATAAAAGCACCATTAGTGATCCTAGTTCAGTGCTTTGTTGTAGTTTTCTTAATAGACTTGGGCAGCAGTATTCAATACAATAAGTGAAACTCATTAGGCATTTAGAATACTTCTTTTCAAATAAATCCCTTTCCTAAAAATGGCAAATTTTTAATTCGTGTATTTCCAAACATTGTGATCCAGTAGTGATCACTTAAAAATTGTAAAATTTTGGTAATGCTCAGGCAGTTGACTCAGTAATGGCCTACCCTCAGGATAATGGAGACGCTAAGTCCAAAAACAGTACCATTTCATGTTAAATTTTTGCATCACCAACATTATTACTTTATATTATTACGATTTCACGTAAGGACAAATTTGGCAAAATAAAAATTAAAACAAAATTTTAGAATCATTTTTATAACTGAAATACAAAACGTGTAACAATACAAACTATAAATACAAATTAATGGAAATGCAGGTACAAAAGTGTGAATTCCTAAACTGAATTTTCTAGGCAAACAAGTCTAGAATCAACAATACAAAAAAGTTTTTGTCTTCAATAACCAACAACAGGCCACAGGATCAAAATTTAATATAAAAAGTATACACACAACCAAATGGCATATTAGCACTACATAACACAATAGAAAACTTGGCATTGGCATTATCTAAAGACCAGTAACATAAGGACATATAGTAAATTTTTGTATACACATTTTGATAAATATACAATTTCTACCAAAATTAGAATAGATCATAAATAAAAAAAAAGTAAGAAACTGCTCATCCAGTATTAGCACATATTTTTTCTTCACAAAGAATCCAAATTAAAGTACTCTCCGTCCATAAAAATTGCAAGAGAATAATAAAGGAAAATGGGTTACGCCAAACACTTTTTTTAAAATGATTAATCAAATATAAACTAAGTTTCAAATGAAATCATTTTTCTGCAATTTGTATGACTAACTGGATAATACCTAGAATTTTAGTCTGAAACAATTCACTTGTAAATTTGCCTCTTAAAACAAGAAACAGAAGATAATGAAATTATAATTAACTAATTCATTGTTTAAGAAAATAGTTTTATAATATTGAGCAATTTCTGTTAAAAAGGATTTTCAGAAATTCTTTAACTACACAAAATTATCTTACAATTACAAATTATTTGATAATTGTAAAACTGATACATGGGCATGCATTGCAAGAATACTTTAAAAAATAACAATAATTCATCTTTTTATTTCCTCGCACTTTAATAAAATTATCTATTATTGTCACATTGAACTTTACTTCAAATACAACCAGTCCACCAGTATTCTCAATATCATTATGCAATGCTTTCCAAAGCAATATTAAGGATGGTAACTCAAGGTGCTTATGTACTTTTTTTTATTACATTTTTCAGAAATGTGCCGCATTCAAAAGAATAATGGCTAACTGTGTGTTAACATTTTTTCATCATGGGATGAAATACATGTACACTCATTCCACCTTAATTTATGAACATTAGATTCAGAATATTGGATAATGCTGAATAGTTGTCAAGAAAATGATAAATGCTGGGAAAACAAGACAGTCAATATATTAACTGAAATTCTTATGACCAAATGAGACCAGTATCTTGTTAATTATATGTGTATACTATATTTTTCAATTCCTTCATCTAGAACCTGTAGAATAATTAGTGCCATTTGGTCCAAAACAGAAATTGTATGTATGTAGAAATTGTTTCTGTAAAATATTTTATAATCACATTAACTTTATATCTTTTCTCTCACAATTTTGAAGTAAAAAAAATCCCTTTATTTTATTGAAATAAATTACGTTCAGTAGACCCATGTCAAACACAAAAATTCTAATTTGTACAAATGTGTACAATTATAATTTTCAACTTATATGAATATGTGTATTATTATTTACCACAACTCAATTACCAAACCTCTGAGTCACCACTTCCTTTAAATTATTTATGCATTATTAACAGAGTATGTACAATTACTTTCATTATAAGAAACAAGTGAATAAATAAAATGCAATAAATATGGAAACTTTATAATTAAGAATAATATGCAAAAACATTTATATACATAAGTAACCTTTCGAGGTTAACTTGGTTCTCCAACACTTCCAATGCTTTCTGAGGGAGTGGGAGGTACACTGGACTGGGTAGAAGAAATATCTTCAGTAGATACAGACACTACATTCTCTTGGTCTGAACGTTCCTGAACCATGAACACATTGCAAATCTGATAACCTGGATTATCTGGATGCTGTGTAGTCACAATAACTAAAGAACCTGGTGCTACATTATTCATATCAAAATTGTTAGCTACAGTAGGTGAAACTTCTTGAACATCTTCAACTGCATTCCCAGAGTCATTATCTTCATCAGAATCACACGATTCAAGGAGATCAATACCAGCTTCAAGGAAATCATGTTTATTCTCAACCGCAGCATAATTAAGAATTTTGCCATTGAGAACACGAGAACTCCGACGTTCAGATACTACCTTAGAATTTTTGATTTTCTCTTGTTCAGTGGCAGGAGGTTGATATTCATCATCTGATATACAATCAATGTGTTGAGTTTCCATATTTTCTTTTTCTGTATCTTTGCCTTTGTTTTCACATGGCATTCCCTTCTTTTTCTTATCTTTTAATGGTGGTCCAATATCATCTTCATCAAATCCCAAAGACTTCAAAGACCTCTTCTTAACTCTTTGTTTTGGTGCCTTCCGTTTCTTTTCATTAGTATTCTTCTTTTCTTCAACAATCTGTTCTTTTTCAAGTTCACTTAAATCAAATAATGAAGGGAACCGTAATGCTTTTTCTATCAAATGGCCATTAATCCTCTCTTCCTTTTTGAATTTTGATTTGAGGTCAACACGTGAGCGTGATGGAAACAAAGACTGCATCAGTGAAAAATCTGTTCCAAGAGTCTGTAAAGCTTTATAAAACCGAATGGTTTCCTTAACAGACCACTCATTTCTTTGGCGTTTCTTTTTGCTGTATGTATGGTAAGTAGTGTTGCTTCCCGAGTCTACAACCACAGTCAAATTAGCAATTTCCTGACGACTCTTTTTTGACTGTGTAGTTTCAATCACAAGACTTTGTTCATCAAGGACTATTTCTCCATTAGGACCAACTTTAACTCGAGGAGCTGGAATTCCACTTTCATTGTCATCTTCAATATGCTCTTCCTCTGAAGGATTATCAACATCCTCTTCAATAGCACGATTAGTATCTGTATTATCTGATGGGGAACTTACTACAATTTCTTTGGGATTATCTGCAGATGCTTTCATTGGATTAGTAGAAGGATTATAATATATCAAGTCAAACATTCTTAGAGCACTTCTTTCAGGCTTTTTGTTGAAAAAGCGAATTTCAAAGTCACGCCTTGCTTCAGAGAGTTGTTTCGCCATAGAACTCATTTTTCTTTTGTACTTGGGAGGAGACATGTCAGAACTTGGCCTTAGATCACTCTGTACACTGTCAGAGGAAATGCTATCACCATTCAAACTCTGCAGGTCCACATTCTCCTCTCTTGGTGGTAATGCTTGAGGAACATTTGAAGATGCTGATTTCCTAGATTCATAACCTGAAACATGAGTTGAAGCCTCTCTTCCTTTTTCTGGATCATGTGACATCTGTTCAGAACATGAAACCAATCTCAATACATCAGAGATATTCGAATTCTTCAAAGCATTTTCCCTATTATACACGTCATTGTCTGCAGCCACATCAGTTTTACAAGAAGGGGCCTCAAATGATCCTTTTTCTACTCCAAGATTTGAAGAATGAAAACCATCTAATTCATCTAAGGAATCAATTGATTGTTCCAAGACATCTCTAAGGGACTTTCTAGATCCACCCTCATCATTTTGCATTAACACAGTTGTAACACTTGAAGACACTGACTTACACGGACTTCCCTTGGAAACAGATATTTTGGGCAGAGATTTATCAATTTTCTCAGATGTATGCTTCACATAATCCTGCAACAATACAGTTTTCTCAGAAGAAAATGATTTTTCAGACTCGAAGGTTGTATTAAGATCATTATCAATTTCTCTGGAACTTCTAAGCCCTTCCCTTCGAATATTTGTAGTTTGATGAGTAACTGACTCTTCATTGCTGCCATTACTACTTTTTGACAGCTCAGGTGATACACCTTCAGCTAATACATCTGTTACAGATGGGGTTTCTTTGGCATCTCTCCGTCTCCTAAACGCCACATTCAAATTTACTGTGGGTTTTAATCTTTTCCTCACAGGCATACTAACTGTTTTTTTCGACATTTGAGACATTTTTGACTTAGAAAACTTATAGTTTTTCACTGTAAAGGTTAGTTTTCATTACAGAGCTTTCCATACTAACTGCACGCTAATTTTAAGCTTAACAACGTCGAAATTGAACAATTATATAAGAAAGAATGTAAAAACTTGTCAGAAACTCTTAAATGCACACCATCCTTTATGAAACATGACGTTCGCGAACACATGGTCCACAACTTCATTCCTCAAACGCACTCACACGTCAACACTGGTCAACACGCGCGCGTGCGCACACTGGCAGACACTCTCACTCACACTCATACACACACACACACACACACACAGTGGAACGAGATACTGACACACATTCATTGCAATATTGCTTTCCTTCAGCAGAGAATGCCGTCAGTCACGCTACGTGTTTTAAGTTCTTTGACTTCTCTGGGACAAATCGGGTGAAGTATAATAATACTGAATAATACTCCGACTGGAACCCAGAGAGATATTCCTGACCCGAGAGTATATTCTCTGGGATGGAGAAAAGTGATGTTCATTTTTTCGGTTGAAAACGCGGCGAGCGCTGCAAAGCCGCACGGAGAAGCAAGGAAACAGTAACAAGTGCCGACGGATGCAAAACCTGTGCTCCCTGTGCAGTTCAAGAGCGTGCCAACGAAGGACGTCATATACACATCTTTTTGAGTAAAACATTCACTTATTGGTGCAGATAGAAAATATTGTAATTTACTTGTTTGTTTCCTGAAGGATTTAGAAGGGGTTGCTTTAGTGTTTTGTTGTCGGGTATTTTTGTGGAAGCAGATAAATGGCTGACAGTGCAGGAAATTGGTGCTTAATAGAAAGTGATCCAGGAGTTTTTACTGAACTTATCAAACAATTTGGTAAGTACTTTAGAATGCTGAAACGAAAGTGCTATTTATGCGATTAGAATGTACGTTTTCCATAAGTATTGGCCCTATTCCTTCAGAGGCAATTGAATAGTCATTGTGTACATAACCAAACACACACAAATATGTTGTTTCATACAGGCGTTAAAGGAGTGCAGGTGGAAGAACTGTGGAGTTTAGATGCAGAACAATTTGAAAATCTCAAGTAAGCATCAAGTATCAAAAAGTATATTTAATGATGTGTTTATGAAAAACCATTATCTTTCATTTTTAATATTTTGTTACAGACCAATCCATGGACTAATTTTCTTATTTAAATGGGTCCAAGATGATGAACCAAGTGGTTCCATTGTTCAAGATAGTAGATTGGAGAAAATATTTTTTGCCAAACAGGTTAATTCAAAATATATTTCTGATTAAGATATGTGCTTTAATTATATTCAAGCAAAAATACTTATTAAAATAATCATTATTTACTTATTTCACTATTATTTGAGAAACATTAAAATATATCATTAAACATGTAATGGTCATTTTTTGAAGTTCGAGATATTATTATTTTTGCACGCTTGCAAGCAAAAATCAGTGTACTTTATGTAACTGTATTGTTGATTGACAATGCCATAGACGAAATTTACTTTTTTTTAAAAAAAAAATAAGCTATCATTCATTCAGTGTACCATACATTATATTACATCTCAGGGCATTTTTTAAATACAATTGGTTTTAGGTAATAAATAATGCCTGTGCTACCCAAGCAATACTTAGTATATTGCTGAACTGTAAACATCCTGATATTTCATTGGGTCCTACATTAACAGAATTCAAGGAGTTTTGTCAGAGTTTTGATGCTAATATGAAAGGTCTGACATTGAGTAATTCACAGACCATTCGCTCTGTACACAACTCATTTGCAAGGTTAGTGTCATGAACTTCTGAGATGTGAAAATTTCTTCTAATTTTAAATTTCTGTATCCATTAGTATTTTTTTTTACAATTTCAGACAAACTTTATTTGAATTTGAGTCCAAGTTAGCTTCCAAGGATGATGATATGTACCATTTTGTTGGTTACATTCCAATTGATGGACGTCTTTATGAATTGGATGGTTTAAAAGAAGGGCCAATTGACCTAGGAGCTGTACCTTCTGAAGCAGATTGGTTGGACATTGTCCGGCCTAAAATTGAAAAGAGGATTCGCAAGTATGTGATATTACTATTATAAACTTTCTGCGAGGTATTAAGTCATATCAAATAACTCTGGTTTCAGTTATCAACATTTTCGTTTTTTATTAAAAAAGACTGGATTTGAAAGATTTCCTAAAAAGTTTCTAATATATTTTTAAAAAACACTTGTTGCTGAAAATATTATTACGCACATTCAAAATGTCTGAAAGCTATTTATCTTTTCCATTTTATATGTATTATTGAAGTGTGTGGCTTGAGATTTGTTCAATTTCATAGAAATTCTTGGGCATAATTTTGAAAAGTTTAAGAGAAATGGTCCCTTTTCTGTCAAAAGCATCTGATAAAAAGACAATATCTTATCTTTTAGAGTTATGGTACTTTAAAAATGCCAGGCAAATCAAACCTTTGTTTTTATACTGTAAGTCTCTTTCCAAAACCTGTACTTAGAATAACAAGTAGCACAAAATCATCTTTAAACATCAAAACTATTTCATTCAGTTGTGGCTTCAGCTATATATATAATGAAAAAAACAATGGCTTTGGTCTGATCATTGAAACTTTTAATAGTATAAGTTTGTGCTTTGATTTTTTTTCTCAGTAATGAATCACCATTATTTTATTTTTTTAAGGTACAATGAAGGGGAGATTCACTTTAACCTAATGGCAATAGTGTCAGATCGCAAAATGACTTTTGAAAAGAAAATTCAGCAGATACAGAAAGAGATAGAGGTAAGATGAAAGCCTTCAAACAGTAAAATTATCTCTAATTACTAAAAAAGGTTTATATTTCCTATGAATGGTAGCTTTAAAAGCACAGTTGGATGAAGAGTGGTTGCAACTCCTTTTATTATCAACTGTGCTATTACTGACAGTTCCCTATTTCTTCATTTTAATGATTATACAGGAAAGCGGTATGGAGACAGATGCTCAACAGGCAGAAATGGCAAGACTGCGACTTTTGCTTGACGAAGAAGCACAGAAAACCAAGCAGTATCAAGTGGAAAACATACGACGCAAACACAATTATCTCCCTCTTATTGTTGAATTACTCAAGAGTTTAGCACGTCGTGGTCAACTTCTGCCCCTCTATGAGAAAGCTAAAGAAAGACAGGTTTTAGACAAGCAGATAGCAAAACGTGAGGAACAGGCCAAACAATAAAATTTAGATTATTGTAAGAATGAATTGTGATTGTGATAAGTGTGAAATTTGCCTAAAACATCTGGATAAACTTGTGTGTAATTAACAAGAGGATTGAATGTTGAAGTGCTGACTTTTTTTTTACTGAGTTGATCCAAGTTGCTCAAGGATGACTAAAATAGTTCATGAGTCATTACTACATTGTCACTTGTATCAAATATATGTGGTATTGCATCAATAAATGTTGCTTATATCGTTTAGAATATCTTTAAGACCCTGGCAGTTTCTTTTAATTTTTCTCTGATTGTCAAAATGTTATATGCTCACTCTTTAATAAATTTCATAATTATATTCACAGAGATGCTACCAAACTTATCATTGATTCTCAATGCTTATATGAGTGCTGGTGCAAAATCTCGTACCAGTGAAACAAAATGTTTATAGAATTTCTGTTTTCAACTGACATTTAGAATAATTCTATGAAAACATTGTTTCATGATCTCAAATTGTGCCCGTTTTTATTGTAGAGCAAATCATTGGCACAACAAGTAACTTGGTTACTGCATGTCTCCCATTCATGCAAGAAGATAAATTAGTTTTGCTTCAGAATGGCACAGGCTTTCTCATATTAGGTAGTTTTCTAATTTCCTTTAGTCTGGACTAGCTTCTCATTTGTGCCCCCTCTTCCCAGCTCACACTTGTCAGCAATTAAAAGATCTTTTTCACTGCCTTAACAGTAGAAATTTAATGTGACTAAGAATATTTAAGAAGTGTAACAATACATTGAAATGGCTTATGTCATGGTGTCCAGTGCAATTTTTCTCAAAACGTATGGTGTAGATAGGGTTAGCACTATCTGCAGCAAATGTTTAAAGAAAAATTTGGAGTCATTTTCAAGCTCTTGATTGTAAAATTGGTCATATTTCACTCAAACGTACATGAAAACTACTAATATTTTCAAAAGCATGCACATGACATTAATGAAATAACTAATTGTGGAGAACAAATTTTATTTGAAGAAGAAATGTCCAAAATATGTGAAACTTTTGGAAATTACTTTATTCTTACTAGAAATTTAAAGAAAAAATTTGGAGCCTTTTTAGAGAAAATTTTGAGAATGTTCTAGGGATTCCTGTGAAGTCTCCCAAATTTAAAGATCTGTTTTCAAAATTGCAGAGCTTAAAGTTTGGCCACATTAGTCATGAAATATTTATTTTGGCAAAAATCCTATGAATAGTTAGGTGTTCGACAGATCCAAGATCTAGAATGGAACTGAAAAAAGAATGAATAGGCATACTCAGGATCTCTTTTAGGCTACAGGTATGGTGACTTGCTGTCTTGATGTTTTCTTATAAAGAATTTTTCATTTATGCTGCAAGTACAAGATATTTTAATTTATTGACTCGATTAATTAGAATATTATTTGATATATTGAATGAGTTTCGTTAGTACAGAAAATTAGCAAAATTTATATTTTTGAGCCCCATAAGCCCCCTTTCCAACTACTACATGTACTTATATAACAAAAATAAGTGGAAGATTCCTATGTATTGCCTTATTTTGAGGTTCATAATTTTTTTATGAAACCGCCCCCTCTGAAATTTTGAAAATCATTGGACGAGTGGAGAATAAATTCTCAGCCCTGGACAACATTCCAGATTTTCTTATTAAACACAGTGCTCCATGTATAGTGCAACCACTCTCTCATATCTGCAATTACTCCCTAAAATCAGACATTCCCAGATATATTCAAGAGAGCCGAAATTAACCCAATATTTAAATAGGGCAATAGTTATGATCCAATGAACTACAGACCTATCTCCCTGTTATCAGGATTTTCAAAAATTCTGGAAAGGCTTTTCAATGACAGACTCGAACAGTTTCTCAATGCAAATAATGTCCTTCCAAATGCACAACATGGCTTCAGGAGTAATAGATCCTAAACCTAAAATGGAATGCTCACATATCAAATCTTAACAAGAAGCTCACCAAATCTTGCTATGCCCTATACACCCTCAGGTAAACCTCCATCATTGAGACACTTGAACAATATTATGCAAATGTGCACTCACACCGAAAATATGGAATAATATTATGGGGAAATGGCCCTGAAAGCACTCGCACATTTATTATCCAAAAAGAATATTGCAAACAATGACCAGCACTCATATGCTGGATTCTTGCAAATCCTTGTTCAATAAACTAAGGATTCTTCCTTTACCATGCATGTATATATTTGAAATAGTGGTCTTCACAAAGAAAATTCTCATGGAAAACAAAGACACTTTTACTTTAAATTCCAATGTACACAACTACAACACCTACATGTTTACCACTCTGAAACTACACCTTATCAAAAAAGTACCCTAATTGAGAGCATTACACTTTACAACAAACTAGGCAATGATATTAAAGACATAATCACAATTCATACATTTAAAAGTAAATTCAAAGCTTTCCTGCCTAACATGATGTTCTACAGTGAAAAGGAATATTCAAATTACAACAATATTTCCCTTAAAAATATAAATAAGAATTTCTTATCCCATTAGACTTTCCGTTTCGAGCTGAAGCAAAGAAAAAAGAACTGGCATATCGCATCCTGTGAAGTAGAAGGAGAATGCCTGACAAAAAACAAAAAAAATAAAAATCCTGTTTCTCTCAGGATTGGCTAGGCGCATTAGGTGCTGCAGTAGGACTATGTGTACAAATTGAAAGAAGAAAAAGAAAAAAACTGGTCAAAACTTGCCTCCTCCTCACCACTTTAAGTTTTAAATATAGAATATACTAATATTGTTACCTTGTATGTAGTTGCTAACAGAATTGATATGTATTGTTTTAATATTATTATTATAATTATTAGTATAATTATAATTTCTTCAAGTCTCTTGCTTAGCAAGGTACCTATAGCAGACACTGGTACCTTTGTACAACCAAGGTGCCTGCTTCGCGTGGAAACTCAGGCGGTCAGTTATATCAATAAAAACTTCCTCACGATGTGTGCACTACTCAGGAGAACAGCCTTTTGCATGGTGTGAATGTGCCTGTTCTTAAGGCCAAGCCTTGCAGACGATGAAATAAGCATTATTAATTATTATTATTATTAGTAGTATTATAAGTAGTAGCATTAAAATGACAATAACATCTTAAAATCTTAAGTTATTTACGTATAATATCCTAATCTATCTGTAGCATTATTGTAGTATAGTCCCTAGGCCAATGACCCCATCTCGATCAGGTTTTGTTCAGTTTCCCTGGTTGCTTCAGCAAATGCTGAGATGCCCCTTGTGTGCTCCTGAACAGTAATGTAACTACGCTCTCTCCTCCCAAAACATCATATTGACTCGTCATGCTGAATTGTAATTGTATATGTGACTCTAATTATTATTATTATTATTATTATTATTAATAAGCGGAACCGGCTATTGTCACGTGTCACCAATCACGGCCTCTGTAACAAACATAAGCATAACAGACGGACGGATAGACAGACAGACTGACGTGCAAAAAAGTCCTTAACACTTTTTCGGTATCAGGGGACATCGAAAAGTGTATTTCCTTTGAAATCTCGAAATCGATTTTCCACAGCATTACATAATTTTATCTATACTACGTAAATTACTTCGTATATACGTAAGTAGGAAAGAGAACTAATAGTGCTACAAAATGGAACAGACTTTCCCGTATTAGTTTTCTATTTCCTTTGATCTGCGCTAGCTATTCTGATTTGACACGTACTCTTGACAGCTGCCATCTATCCCCCCCCCCCCAACACATTTTTTTGACATTTTCAGAATTTTTGGGTAAAGAAAATATTATTTTTAAAATGATATTAAAGAACAATAAAACCTCGTACTAAATGGGAATTTCCTTTGAAAAATTTGAGCCATTTGTAAGAAAATGGCGTTTAAGTGCTACTGCAAATTCTAAATTTGAAGCGCTTTTTTACAATCATTTTTTTGTTTTCTAAAGACTTTTATTGGACGTCATTTGAAGGAATTTAACTCACTAATACAATCGCGTTTACAAATTCCTTGAAATGTGCATATTAACGGGGTGAGAAATTTCAAAAAATTACATTTGTGTAATTTTTGAAAAAAAAAACAAAAAAAAGCTCCGAATGATTCTTTATGTATTTTTAACAGTTCTATTGTCACTATTTGTTCGAAAAGTTTAAAGAAAAATTCGGAGCCGTTTTTGAGAAAAATGCGTTAAAGCGTTTCTGAAAATGCTGTATTTTCAGATACTTTACACAAAAAACGGTTGAGATTGCGAGAAACTTTATGTGACATTATTTAAAGCACATGTACTCATAAATACAATAATGAGAATAAATCGCTTCTAACGTAAAGAAAAAAACGAATAGAAACTAGTCAAAACATAACATTTTTGTAATTTTTACAAAACAATTCTTACCTTACCAATGGTTTAAAGAAAACATTTAACCCTTTCGCTCTCAATTTTTTTCTGGCCAACTGAAATGTAGTGTATCGTCGCGGATGTTAAAATTCTAGCCTAGAGAATTCTTTTTAACAATTTATTATCTTAAATTTAATTTTTCATTTCAGGAATTTTGAAATAGGACCAGGCCACTTGTACACAAAGGAACATCACACATTGTGCAGAATGTCTTTGTCCTTTCCTCGATTTTTTGTGATGCACATTTAGCGCACCGTTTCCTTGTTTTCCCTTCCACAGACATGTGCTCTCCAACATTCAACATCAGTTTTCGTGCCCTCGATCGACGTCCACTTGTTGGTTTTCTTTGAACTTGTGCCATTGACTTATCTGAAGCTAGGAGCCTTTCTGACAGACCACCCATAATTTCATTATAAAATGAAATTGCTTCAGGACATTCTATTGACACTTTGGTTCCATCTTTTTGCTTCCTTTCTACTGGTTTCGTCGTTGTGCCATGCCAGTTACTCAGAACAACTACATCTTTCGAATCCCTCCATCTAACAGCAAGAGTTCCAAAACTGTTTGTTTGAAATTCAAAATCCCCGTTTTCCAAATTGTTGGGGAATTTTGGTATGTTTTTTCTGTTCAATATACATGTTCGAACAGCAGGAAATTTCAGTGAGTTCAGGAGTCTCACACTCGTAAGGAATCTGTCAAAAGCTAGACTCACAGTTGGATCTCGAATATTTTCTGTTAGTTTCGAAACAACTCGTTCTCCGAGAGGAAGTCCTTCATTTCTGCAGTCATCTCTACCCGCATACACATTCATGTCGTATATATATCCTGTCTTAGGAGTCACATCGCTCCCACATTTTTATACCTCTTTTGACTTTTATACCGCTTTAGAGGCAAATACTGCTTGAGACTCGAACGACCTCTGAATTTAGTCATTGACTCGTAATGCTCTGATACGGGCTTTCTGCTCTTGCTTTGGGAAATGTTACTTTCAGACATGCCAACACTTCGTAAATATATTATGTTTTGGAAGCAGTATTTGTTTTTTGTGGACAATTCAAGTACAACTTTGACCAAAGAAGTTGGCATCTGTTTCGAGACATTGCCTTTGTTATTGCTTCATTACCCAGTGAAATATTGGTGTACCAATAATGTGCAAATTTAGGAACATTGTTTTAGGACATCACTAGTAATATT